AGCCACGCACCTCCAAAATCACCTTCTCCTTCTTCACACTGTCATCCCCTTACACGCGCGCACACCGCATTCACTCCACACCCTTATACGCCTCTTCCCAAAACTATTGTGGCGATTCCCACCGCTTATGTAAAACGTTCGGCCAGAGGCAAGCAAACACGTATAAAAATAAATAACCGTCAGACAAAGGAGGAAGGGGGGGGGGGGGGGGGGGATGATAACGACAAAAAAAAACGTGCTACCAAAAGGACGAATACAACACAAAATGGGGAGGCAAATGAAGCCCAAATGCAACTTCCTCAGAACACACACACGCACGCACGCACGCACATACACACAGAGAGAGAGAGAGACAAGGAAAGGGGAGGGAGAAAAACAAAGTGCATGTGCGCAATGATTCTTTCTGTGCATCGAGCTCATACCACAACTTGGACCTCATGTGCCAACAAACATATGGATATACATAAACAGAGTTGTACATCTCGTTATTTTATTTTACGACGATGATGCATTCCATCGGCGTTGGTACACCGCGGTGGGCTTCACTTCACTCACTGACTGTGGCGGGGAAATCCACGACGTCGATCCAAGTTCAAGTGCCACCGCATCTATTTCATGTGCCTCTTTTTCACTCAGCGCCTTGTAGGCCGGCGACCGACACACCTCCGCGTAGCCCAACACGGCTGTAAGGAGGGCGGTCTCCTGTAGAAATGGCGCATGATACTTCCCCGCCAAGGAGTAAAACTGCCCTGCGGTATCGTAGTTCACCTCCTCGCGCGCCAATATGGACTCACAGTAAGCCTGAAGGGGCGAAACATCCAACAAGTAGGATCCTAACATGGTCGCAAATACCGCCTCACGCGGGACAGTGAGTCTCTGTGTATAGAGAAACTGCAGCAGCGGCTGAACAGCCAAATAGGGCACATACACAGGTCCCACAAGAATATCTCGTCGCGTCTGAGAAGGGCCACGACCACCGCTTCTCATTTTGGCCGCGACGGGGCCCACATAAAACGTTGTCCTTTCCCCAGTCACCAACGGTCTTAAAAGGTCGTTAAAAAATGAGTTCGCGGCCATGAGAATAAATGGATGAAGGGAATAAATGCTTTTCTGTTTAGTATGAGGATCCACAAAAAGTACTGTTACTGTTGCGCAACTCGCACTCCCTAAAAGAGACAAGAGGTCAGATTGCAAAAGTTTTATACTGCCCGCATGTGCCTGTTTCAGTTTCTTACGACTGTGTGCGAGCAATGCATCGCAGATACACTTAAGTGGATGCAACTCATATGCTTCTGCAGCGCGTCGTACGGCCTGCAAGAAGTTGCCCTCCTCTTGCATGACACTCCTCTGCGCAGAGGTATCTGCGTCCTCGACATTCCCCTCCTCCACCTCTTCCTCCTGTTCCAAGAGAATACGGTGACTCACGTCTCCCCAGTAAATATAATCCAGTAAACACTGCAGTTGGCCTGCTGTTAATGGTACTAACAGTCCTTGAATCCTCGAATTGCCCTCCGTGTAGTACGCAACAGCGTGACTCTGATGTGTGTCACCGGACGCCATCGATGCCGCCGCCACTGGCATTGTTGCTGAGGTTGTTGGCAATGGCATGGACGCCCTGTCTGAGGAGACGCTCACTTCAAGCGCGGATTCCAAAATTCCATTATTTCTAGAAGGCCTGACATGCTCCATGCGGCAGCGGCTGAGGTCTTCCCAGAATTTGGGGGCACGTTGTTGCAGGAGAACGCGATGCACACCGTATGCTCGGTCACTCGCCATATCGATAACGGTTTCCCCATCCCAGCAACGCGGCAGGACGTACGTGTCAAACATGCTCGTGATGCCGTTCTCACGTACGTGGCGCATCATGGAGGTGAGGGCGTCCGCGTTTGACACCACCGACGAGCGTGAGTCCGTTTCAAAGTATCCATCCGCGGCGAGAAAGCGGACCATCGAGTTTGACGCGGGCTCAGTGCCACATACCCCGCCAAAGATATGTACAAATCCACCACTGAAGGCAGCAGCAAAAGACTTCTTATTGGGGGCTACAATGGAGAGATTCCCCATTGTCACCGGAATCCAGCGTGGCGCAACGCTACTTGCAAATGGCAAAACAGCGACAAAATTGTGATATTTTGCCGTGATACGCGTGCTGTGATCGCTTGTGCTACATCCACCAACCACCAATAAGGCTTCCCCACATGCAAACAAATGATGCTTTTCCCTGGGAAAGGCGTCCGCACTCCCACCGTTGTGAAGCAAGGACCAGTGCTGTTTTCTGAGGTCCAAAACCCATGTGTCATTCAAAATGATTCCGCCGTCACCGGTTCCTCCATTGATGTACATACAGTCACCAAGAACGCAAGCCGCATGAAAGAAACGCGGTGTAGGTCGCCCTGACACCACATTCTTTAATGGCGTCACAGCAGCTGCAGTCGGTGGCGAGGCGTCCTCTGTGGTTGCAGTCGCCGAAACATTGTTCCCGGCGTCGTTCACCGCCGTTGCCTTCCCTGCATGAATGCGCCTTCGCCACCTGTGGTTATTTAATGAAAAGACGTAAACATCCGTCGACGCCAACGTAACATGTTGTGCGCCTTGCGAATCCCTTTGATCTCGCTTCAGCGTTTTCCCACCAAAAATATACAGGCGATCATCCAAAACCACCATGGAGTGACCAAAACGCGGGGTTGGCTCTTTTTTGTTCTGCACAGAACTACTGCTATACTCCCACAGACACTTCCACTCCTGGGTGCACATATCGAAGCAGTGGAGGTCGCCAAGAATACGCGTTCCACGGTCCGTTGCTCCCCCACTGATGTACAACCACCGTCCTCCAGAGGCACATGCCGCGTGGTTAGTTCGAGGGGTAGGAATCACGTTGCTGGACACAAAAACAGGATCCCATGAAACATGGTGTGTGTCATACTCAAAGAGAGACGCCGCTTCCCCTTCCTCAATGTCCATTCCACCAAAGAGAAGTAGTTTATGCCCCTGCATTGGCGTCAATGTGCTCCCCCAGCGGGGGCGAGGAGTGATACCTGCAGGGTTTATATATCTGGCACACATGAGGGGTAAAAAATTCACCTCCCCTTGACTGTTTTCGCCGGCATCGTGTGCCACCGGCACCTTCGACGATGATGTGGGAAGCTTTCCATTCACCTGCGGCGACAAATCGGACTCTTGGGGACTTTGTCTGTCCTGTTTTAAAGAAAATGCAACATCGTCTCTCCTTTCCAAAGACATCCCCTGAGGTGAGACGCCCACCGTCCCTCCAAGAAGCTTTGGGCGAAGAAACGTCTTCGTTGACGGATTTGTCGCACTCTTTGTAGGCGATGAGGCGTCACCCGTCTTCAATGGTGGCAGCCGTTCCCACAGGGGGACCACTGCACGTCGACTGTCGTTTGTTGTGCCTTTGTACGTTGAGAACTTTGACTGACCAAAATAGGAAGAATAAAGGGAAACAACACCATCCACGTTGCTTGAGCCACGCTTGTGCAGCGAAAATGGTTTCTCACGTTCCTCATTAGCCGTGGTGGGGGTGCCGACGATGTCTTCCAACTCATGTAGCAGCGCCCTTATTTCACCGGCATCGACGGAATCCCACATGGGTGCTGAACTTCACACAAATCTCCGGCGCAATATCTGACGATGTGTCTGTGCGATGATGCAGGCGTCGTCCCCTCTTCTCCTGCTTCTTGGTGCTTCTGCAGACCCTCCTCCCCTCCTTTTTCCCCTTTTAAGTCGTTTTGTGTCTCCCTTTCCCCCCGCAACCTGTGTGCAGCTGAGAAAAACAGGCGTGTGTGTGTATTACTCCTTCCTCCTCAACGCGATTTCCGGTACACAACGTTTCCTTAGCTGGCTCGTCGTCCCACAAACGGTGGGACCAAACTGACGAAAACTGCACTGTTTTTCCTCACCTATACACTTTCTTTCCCTCACCTTCACTGTATGTTTGTATGCGTGTAAGTTTCCGCCTGCACAGCGCTAAAAGAAGATAAAAAAATAATAACATTGCATGTGCAAGAAATAAACAAAGGAAAAAAAAGAATAACACAGACAAGCGTACATGCCAGCAAGGGTGTTTAGCGTATATATATATATATATAAATGAAGGGTTAAGGCGACACAAACAACAAAAAAAAAAAGAGAGAAAAGTGAAAGTAAATAGATGAATCTATTTTTCCCACCTGTAATCGTTCTCTTCTTTGATGTTATTTTATCAGATGCGTACATCATCTTCCCCAGCTTCGTGTCACGTTAACTGCAGCGGGGAGCAGTAGGTAAAGACATCTTCGCCCTTATTCAGGGCCTGAGTAATTTTTTCCACGCTCTCATGGCACGCGTACTCCACCACAACGCGGGGCCCTGCTACCAGAATGCTGGAAACTCTGCCAAAGCGCACAAACTCCTCCCAAAGATGTCGTTCGCTCACCCCCATCTCATCCCCTTCTCCACTTTTCTTCAATACGGCGATAAAAACACACTTGGGTGGGTTTACCTTGGTGTTGGATCCTCCAGCAATATTGGTGTTGTTGCAGCTGCCACCACGGCCCAGCATCGCAATACCAACAGGCTTTCCACCAACCGTAATCACAGACGGTGTGTGGTGCGGGTGCTGCGGTAGTGATTCCGATGGTAGCGGTGGTGGTATTGATGATGGCGGCGGTGGTGGCGGTGGTGGCGCATGACACGTGCGTAAATATGTGGGAGCCACATGCGGAAGTGTAGACGCTGTCATTTTTTGGTCGGATGCTCCTGTCATATTTGGCTCACATGCCGTTGGACGTAACTCAACGGCAACACCGTCAATGATAACGGACGGGTAACTTAGCGTGAAGCACTTTGACGCCGCCTCCAATGTATCGTAAACCACCGTGAAGGTTGCACTATGTGGTTGTGCATCACAACGAAGGAGAGAACCAAACTGAAGCAGATATTCCATGAGGGACTGCCTGTCAATAGTGAGCCCGAGAGTGTAGCGCCCCAACAAGGTTCTTGTCGAAGCTTCGAATGACGTTACCGCCGCTGCCGCTACTGCTGGTTGATACGACCCACACCATGTGGTAGCAGCATCCACAGGCGATGATGATGGAGGCGGCGGCAGCGGGACTCCCATTCCATTGTACGCCACCACAGGGAGGCCATTGTGGCTGACGTATGACTCCTGCTTCTTTTCGTGGCGATACCGCTGTCGAGATTCATGGCGTCTACCCCGCGGCGACGAGTTCTGCGAGGACGTGGCAGAGGAACTACTAGAGTCGTACGACGACCGCCTTGAACGACGGCGGCGCTCATGGTGGTGGTAGCGGTTTGCGTGCTGTTGTCGTTGGTCTGCTCCATCACGACGGTGAAGCTGCATCTCTAGAAAGCCGCGGCGACGCCTGTAGGTCTCGGTGCCGTACATAGCGTGGGGTGCGAGGGCCAGGGCGTCGTGCTGATGCGCCCTCTCCAGGTGTGTCACAATGGCGGCAATGGGAAGCTGATGCTCCGGGTTTAGTGGGCAACGCATGTAGCCTTCCGGGAGCGGCTGTCGTTCAGCTCGATGCTGCAACAATCGTTGCATTTTCTCAGCAAACGTTAACGGAGAAGACACGTTCGCCATTTTCCAACCGCTTCGCTTCCACCGCCGATAACCACCGAAGGATGAGAACGGCAAAAAGGGAAGGACACACCCACAGAGAGAAAATGAGAGGGACAAAGTTATGGATCGGGAGGTATTTCTTCCCAGCACTGCTTCTTTAAAAGAACCGGATATGGTTCTTCCACAGCGGCCCGCTTTTCCTTTTCTGTTTTTCCGGCGCCGATCTCCGGCGGAACAGCAAATAAAAAAAAAAAAAGGAAATTAAAAGAAAAACATCTGACGGCCTGCGGACGGTGGCGGAGGCAACACGTTCAGCTAAAATGCACATTTTCCCCCGGTAGCCAGAAGACAGGTGACACGGCGGAAAAGCGTGAGAGTTCAGCGTGCTGCGTGTGGGTCACTCATCTGCCATCTTCATGCCTCTCTCTTCACACATTTTTTTTTTTGCACGCAACACACAACGCAGAGAAGCAGAACAATTCAAAGCGAGAAATAATAATAATAATAGGCCCTTTTGCGGAGCGGGTTGTTAGGCGGATGGGAGGAGATCTTGCAGTGACGATGCCGGGAGAACCTGGCAGGGGTGACCTTGACGCGCGTGAGAACGAGGGAGAGGGAGAGACCACGTGGAGAGGCACAACAACAGCAGCGGAATCAGCAAATCCTCAAACATACGGCAGTAGCTATAAAAATAATTCAACAACAAAAATACACAAAAATAAACACCTAAAAACAAAAAAAAAAGAATCAAACAAAAACAACAACTGGAGGAAAGGCTTCAGATAAACACCGCACGTGCCTCCCCACACGCACACCAGCTGCACATCATTACCGCACAACCAGAAAATCAACCCGCACAACAGTTGACCCCTCAGTGCGTGTGGGGAACTCGTGCAGATGTGCAGAAGCGTTTCGCCTGACACATTCCACTGTTTTCCCAACTGGTTTACATTTTCATTCGCTTTTTGTGTTGAATCTTCCTCTTTTTTTTTTTATTTGTTCCCACCCCACCGCCCTTAACCTCAACTGCTGGTCTGGCCTTCCATGTGCCACCCATCGCGCTGCTCCCCTTGTTGTCAGGTTGCGGCACCCCCTTCACGTCGCGCAATTCTCTCATGCAGCACGAGCTGAAGCACACATGCCGACACACCCGACGCCGTCAACTGAACGAGGACTTCCCGCGGCTTTCGCGACGCCCTTCGTGCCACACACACTACTTCCACAATGACTGCTGCTGACTTTCTTGTCGTCCTTGTTCACCACGCAGGCGGAGCGCCCCGGCTCTGAGGGGGCCGCCTTGCGCACATGCACGCAGGCCTCCCAAACAACCCCCGCAAAGACGACTAGGAGGGATAACCACTGTCCAGCAGCCACATGGTGGCCGTGGATAATGACTGACAACAGCACGCTCCCTGACTTCCGCAGCAGCGTGAGAGCAGTCAGCGTGAGACTTCCAAACAAGGAGATGGTGCGGAAAACGAAAAACTGTCCGATCGCGCTGAGAAAACTCATCTCCACGACATCCTTAAAGGCCTCCGGGTAGCGTTGAAAGAAGTGCCATGTGCGCGAGAGATCCTTCAGTGGGGCGACGTCGCGAAGGTACCAGCGGACGCAGGTGTCAATGCTGGAAAGAATAGTGGCCATCGGAGAGGCGTCTGAAAGCATGGTGCTCGTCAACTCTTCTGCCTCGAGAATCACAGTAGCCAATGGGTGGAGTGCCTCCAATGTAATGAGGACAAGTAACAGCCATGTGCTAGTCGCAAGATTGGTGAAAAACATAAGCTGATTTCCCCCCCATTGCAGTCGCTTGACGAGCACATCCTGCGTGGAATTTGTGAATCCATCCGTAACAAGGTTAAAAAACAGCAGCAAAAATCCCACCCAGGTGCTCATCATCGCGCTGTTGTCTCTTCGTCTCTCTTTATGTGGAGGCTGCTTCTCCCCCAGGAAATAAAAACAAAAAACACCACTTGTGATAATAACACAAGCCGCGCATTTACTCAAAGAATATCGCGTGCCATGCCAAAAGAAGCCAACCAACATAACGGGGACCATCTTTGACATTTTCGTTGCAAGCACAACCGGGTACGGCAAACGTCTCATCGCAGCATAGCCCATACTGGATCCGAACGCGTTCGTAAACCCCAACACTGACGTCAGACGTAATGCAGCAACGTATTCCGCCTTTGCAGCTCCTGCCGGAGGTGAAGCTGCCCCTGCTGGTGTTTCCTTCGCCCCATTTCTTGGCGTCGATACCGTCGTCACATTTTTCAAGGTGGGCCCCGTCGTTGCCGTCCCCACCTTCGCTGTGGCCTGCGGGGGCAAAAAAAACTTGGCGTACAATTTCTCTAGAAGCAGCAATAGCGCCCCAACGAGCGTGCCCGTGATGGCCTGAACGAAGCCAATCACAAAGACAGTAGACAGCCTCGCCATTTCGGCGTGTTCTTCAGCCGCCACCATCGCACGGTACGGCTTCGTCACAACGCGCTCCTGTTTAATAGACCAGAGGCCAAAACAGATGTAAATGCCGCTGACGCAGATGATCATTTGAAACACCACAAACATGACGGAGCGTGACGGAGCAGTGCTCGTTCGGCTGGTGTTCGCCCGCTTCTTTGGCTTCTCTGCCCTGCTGCTGCTGCCTTGAGCGCGCTCCTTGCAAGGCGCAGTGGCATGTGTGTGCATAGACGGAGAGAAGAACGGTTTCCCTTCCCTTGCGGCAGACAAGCGTACGCGATAGCCGGAGGAAGAGAGGGATAGAAAGGCAGACGAAAGGTCGTGGACGCCCATCCCAGCGAGGAAGGGGTAGGAAAAACAGCAGATTAGCCCCCGAAGCAGGCAAGCAACAGCAACAGCACACACACAGCAGGATGAAACAAAACGTTCTATGGGAAGAGGCAAACCCAAAGAAGAAGAAAATGCCAGCGTTCATCACATCCATGCAGGGAACCAAAGACGACAGGGACACAACCCACATCCCTCCCACAGACTTTTGCCAAAGCCTCACAAGCAGGAAATAAAGGCGGCACACCCACACCTTCGATTCCATTACTCTCGATGCATAAAACGAGGCGAGTAATGTCCGAGACTCCTACCGCCAATGAGAAAGACCCCAATAAATGAAAGAATAAGAGGCGGCATTCTTTTTTTTTTTTTTGTAAAGAAGGCAAAAATGAAAAACAAACAAACACGACTCCCTACATCGCCATCTCAAGTCCAAATCGCGTGTCAGCCCCACGCAAGTGATGCACGCCAAGAGTCAACAGAAGATCGTCAAAGATTTTGGTGGTGATGCCGACGCCAATACGACCAACTTTGTTAATCCCAAATTTCAACTGCGTTTGTTTGGCAACGACAGGCGTTGCATCCACCACCATCGCAGCCTCGTAGTCCACCTCGCCATCGTGCATCATCGAGGAGGCACTCAGACGGAGAAGCCCGTGACCAAACGACTTGCTTACCCCAACCAATGTACCCAAATCCCGCCAACTTACATCACCGAGAAAGAGTGTACTTCGACCCCTTGTGCTCTCATCTGCAGATTGCAGCAGCCTGCTGCCTGACATGAGCGTCTGCACCACAAGGAAACGAAAGGTGTCGTAATAACACTCGGACGGCTTGCTATGAATGCAGAACGATCCTAGAGTATCGCCCTCCGCACTGCCCATTGGGTGCTGCAGCGCAAGAGAGAGACACAACGACGATGGAAACACCTTGGCAATAAAACTAGGCGGCACAGACCAAATAGGCATACAACAAGAGCCATCAATGAGAAGCGGAGCACGACGTAACTTATCTGTCTGTGTGCTGTTAAAGCTCTCTTTTCCCTCGCTTTGAGGAAAGCCTGCTGTGGTGCGCAGCGAGAAAGGACCAACGCGCAAGCCGACGCCATACCGCTCCACAGCGGGTGAGAACAAAACCTCCAACACACCAACAGTGCCAGGCCGACCGCGAGAGGGCAGAGCGGCAGATGAAATAAAGCGACGCTGATTGTCTCGTATTTGAGGAGGCGACGCGTAAATTATTTCGGCCCCGTTATCAGTCTCGCCTGTCTTGTCGTTATCGTTTTTGGTATTCTCTGCAGACCCCAACCGCAATGGAAGCCGCGCCCGCAGGTCACACACGACCTCTCGCCTCGTTGAGAAAGCCACAGCTCCGACATGTCGGTTTTCCACATTTACGGCCCACTCGTCATCTTCCTCGTATACAAAAGAAGTTTTGGTGCCATCCGTCTGCTGACGGACAAAACGCACCTGCCGTTGCTCTGCGCCCGCATAAGGAGCAAAGTCGCTAAAGGCACCACTTATCATCTCCTCGATAAGAAGGCCTTCCAACCCGGCCTCCCAGCAGCGCTGTAGGGCCAAAAACATGCTGATCTATTCGTTGGCTCTTTTTTTCTTCGGCCGCGTTTCTTCTCAAATCCACCCAGCCACTGTCCTTCTTTCTATACAGATATATATATATATATATCTCGGTTTCAAATGGTTATATCCGTAGTTATGTTGTTTGTTTCCCCACTCACCCACAAGAGAAATGATCTATCTATTTTTGCCACGTACACACACAGAGGAAGACTCAAGCTGTGTGTGTGCGTGAGTGCAACTTGGAAGCGGGGTCAGCTGGGGATCGTGGGGGTAAAACTGAAACCCCCGTGCAATATGTTCTCAGAACACTCCCCTTTACCACCTCCCTCTCCTTTCCGTACACGGCCCAGCAACTCACACGTCCTACAGAGACCAAGGAGAGGCAAAGCCGCATGTGTCTGTGGTTAGTCCCAAAAAAGTGTCAAGCGGAAGGCGCCATCTTCACGTTCCCCACAACGCCACAAGAATAATAAGGAGAAGTAAACGAGCACACAACGATGTTACCGCACCCACTACTTCACACTCGTCCCTCCCTATTTTTTTTTTCCGTCTTATATATATGTGCTTTTCTTCCTCACCTTCGCCACCCCGTTTTTTTTTTTGTGGTCAACACAGTTTCTGCCTCCAGCCTTCAGCCCCTTTTTTACTCACCTCCTCACCCACTTCCCAATCCACACACAATAGGAAGCGGAAATCATCTTCCCCACTCGGACTTCTGATCTGCTGTGGGGTCATCGATGGGCGCCCCACCAGGACCCCTGCGCGGCACAAATTGTGTCTTTCGCTGCTCTGGATGCGTTGAAGAAGCAAAACGATCGACCCCTTCTTTATCCGAGACGCGCTCCACACCGTCTTCATCCACTCCAGGCACCTCACGACCCGACACAAACGTCGCTGCGAGTTCCTTCTTGGCCTTTTCAAAGGCGTAGGCATACGTGCGAGCGTACTTGCCGCCAAACTCCATGCCATTAACACCGCAAAACAGCAACACTTGGGCCTGCTTCAACAACGGACCCAAACGGAAAGCGCTAAGTGTATTATGACGGTCATGTGCGTTGCGCAAAGCTCCTTTAGCGACAGAGAGTGCCTCATCTATAGAAATTGTGTCAGAACTGTGATTAGCACTAAATATAATTGACTCACCCGCCCCAGTGCCATCCACCACACATGTAGCAGTAAGTCCATGGTGGTTATCAAATTGGCCCTCTGCTGGAAGAACTGTACAAAGTTCTCTTCCGTACCGCACAGCTGCTGGATACATTTGGGGCGTTAGACTATTCGTACTTCCTGCCGACATACTCGTCACGTCCAACATCTCATTTGGAAACCACCACTCCCTTTCCTTCTCCATCGCCCGATCGAGCACGCAGCGGCGTGCCTCTGCCCACTCCGCCTCATTTGCACCAGGATGGTGGACCTCCCAATGGGCGCGGCACGAGGGCTCAATCGCCCGTTGCATTTCTGTCAGTCCGGCCTGCGCGCAGCTCTGATGAAAGCGATCGCCCCGAAGCAGGTCCAAAAAATATTCCATAAAAACATTGCCCTCCGTGTTAAGAACCTGACCAACCTCAAACTCACATCGCACCGGAACGTCCAGCCCTGCCTCGCGCAAAAACGCGCAAAATGAAACAAACTGAGACGAAGAAATATGTGAAACCTCAGACGTAGACGGCTTCACCGTCCCAAAAAACTGCTGTACGAGCTGAGGAACGGCGTCAAACACGTGAAACGACTTTGAAAACGCTTCACTACAAAGTGCCGGATTAAGCGTGGGATTCATATCCATATCAAATCCACGCACCCGCACACGGTACTCACCTTGCGGGAAGGGTACTCCCTTGGCGTCTGTGTAAGGAAGATACAACTCGGCCCTCTGATTCACGTTGAGTACGGCGCGATCGTCCAGCATGACCACAAACTCCCAGGAGGAGTCCATTTCTGCGCGTTCCTTTTCGACTTGCGTGTTAATTGCAGCAGAAGCCGGTACGGCGTCCTCAATACGATGGTAAAGCGAGGTGGCGTACTTTTGCACCTGTGCTAGAGACGGAATCGACCGCACGGCTTCCGCAACCTGAAAGGTCTCCTCCTCCACCAAACCACGTTGTCGCTCCGCTTCCTGAGTTGTCACACGTCGCCAGAGTGATACCTCCACAAATGCATGTCGTTTTATCTCTTGAATTTCCTTCACACACTGTGCTGTCATTGCTGAGCCTGCAGCAGCAACCTTTTTCTTGAGGGCCTCTAGATGCGGTGTCGGCCAATCGTATAAAACGGCACGCCGTGCACCAAGCGGCCATATCGTTACGGCTTCTTGCGGTTCTTTCGCCTCCGCCGCCCCAGACACGTCTGCGCCACCCTCAAGAAGCTCTGATACCACGGCAGAAACCATAACCCCCTGCACTGGCGTCGCAAGGCGCTGATGGTCAGCACGTAGTTGCTCTATTTTGGCACGCCGACGCTCACCAAAAGGACGTGCTGCGTTTTTCACGACACTCCGAATTAAATCCTCCGCCTTCGCAAGATTTGCCGCGCTAAGTAGCAGCGGTCGCTGTATCGCGTAGGCCATCTCCACACCGTAGGTGGAAAACAACCCGACAAGCGAGCGGCGGAACTTGTACGGCGATGCGTAGTCTAAGGAACTACTAAGAGGCTTTGTGGCGTAGTACAGCGTCGCGGTCGCCGCAACTTCCTTTAGTGATCCTGCATGAAAAAAATGGAGCTGCCGAGATGCCGTTGTCGTGTGCTGCGTCATCGTGGGGGCCCCAAATTTGGCGTAATGCAGCTGACACCAAATATCGTTAATGCGCGGCTTAAACCCTGCCGCAGCCATATCTAACTGCCCCCGCGCAACGGCATCCACAAAGCCTTGCAAAACTGCTTCGTAGGGGGTCGCGTCATACATTGCCTTTCGTGCAGCAGCGCTAATGGCGCGTACACGACGCTCCGTATGAATGTGTTCGGTCTCCACCTCTTCACAGCGGATTGTGTGCGTCCAGAAATCCAGTGCAGAGAAGCTGAGCCCCTCAATTGTGGTTGTCATGAGTTGCATGATGGCATCGTGTTCAATTTCCCACTCGGCTGAAGGGATGTCGCCGTCCCCCTCAAGCGGTGGATCAAACTCACCGGCCTCCACCTGCTGTGCCCACCGCGCGACTTCCCTCATGCAGAAGTTGTCCTTTTCGTCTGGGGAAAGTGCGGACCATTCACGTCCATTGAGGCAACGCCGATATCGCTGCAGGAGTATTTTGGCCACCTCTGCAAACACCGCCGCCACTCGCTGCAAAACTTTTTCAGGCGCGTTACCCATTTTCTTCACGTCCGGAGCGAGAAGATCCAGAAAGAACTGCTGTGCTGCATGCGATAGTAGGACAAACCGCTCGGCCCACTGCGTGCGGCGTGGGCCCTCGTAGTGCCAAACACTTGGGGACGGCAGTGGAATGAGGGAAGGGGCCTGCTGCTGCAAGGCATCGTGAAAGGCAAGATACTCCGCCGGCTGCGCCTGTTTTAAGGCCTGTTCAAACTGCTCCAGGTTTGACACCTTTTCCTTTAAAAACCTCTCCGCCATATAGGCGTACTCGCGAAACACGGTGTCCTGCGACCATTTTGTGTCCGGACGGTCGGCCTCGTCAGTAAAAACTTCTGGTACATTGACCAAACCCATGTGATTAGCGGCTGTTCGGCGGGACTGTCGGAGTTGACCCAAATAACGTCTCTCAAAGTAAGATGCCCACACCGCCGCACTATCCTTTACGTGCTCTGGAGAACCAAATACCATGTTTGTTCCCATGTAGTCCTCCACATACGCAAACGGCGAGGTTGAACGTGGCAATGACAGAGACGAAGATGAGATATTCGTTGCCATTGTCCGCACATGCCGACCAGCATGGATGACGGGCAGTGCGGTGTGCAGCACCGGATCGTTGCCAAACCGTATCCACGCCGAAACAGCATCACCCACATTCGCAATCGGCACAGAGGAGGACCACAGCGTTCGGGTCTCATCACTCTCACGGAGTGGCGCCACGTGATTCACCGCCGGATCTGGCTGCCAAATGGGTGTGTAGAAGCGCTGTTGGAGACGACTACTGCGCTGCACGTGAGGCGGCAACGCCACGACGACTCTCCGCGCACGCATCATGTCTGAGTGGAATTTGCTAAAGGTATTGTATGTATGCGCGTCCCACAACAAGCACACTGACACACACGCAGGGAAAGTGAGAATGAAAACACATCTTTGCACAGCAAGATATAATGCAGCACAAAAGACACTACAAAGTTGATAAAACAAAATCTCACAAAAGCAGCGGGGGGAAGAGGCCTCGTTTCCACAAAAAAAAAAAAGATCAAAGCTACAAACGCATCCCCTGAACAGAAAAAGAAGCGCCGCCCAGTTCTGCGCTGAGTCCTCTTTATTGCCACATAAATCTATATGCCTATGTTCCTGTGCACTTACTTTGAAGTTGAGAGACGCAAATGGGAAAAAAGGGGGAAAAAGGGGCTGTCACCGCACCGTCTCCACAGCAAACACAGGCAGATGCACAAACACACACGCACGTATACATAAATGAGTACTTTTGTAAGAGGGAGCAACAAAGATTAATAATCCTGCATGCATGCGGCAGTGGTATAAAAAAAAAGGGGAGGGGGAGGAGGAGCCAATAACTTTGCGCCGTGCTGTGCAGCCGCAACAGAGGAGAAGCGGGAGGAGGAAGAGAGCGAACATCGAAAGAGAAATTGAGCGAGTACATATTTCATTGGAGAAGTGGGAGAGAATCCAACCAAACCAACAACAAAAACGCCCTTCCCCCTCCCGCTCCCACCTCCCCAAACACAGTCACCTAAATAATTCTGACAACAGTGAAAAGAACTCAGAAACAAACAAACACCCACATAAAACAAACAAAAAGCATCTACCTCGCTGCAGCAGCGCCAATACACACGCATATATATATATATATATATATATATATATATATATATAT